CTTATCCGAGAAGACTTGGTTCTACCAACCGAACCATGGGCGAGGAGCGGCTGGAACCAGCGCCGATGTTAAAGGCTGTAGCTAGCAGCGCCCCTGCCTTACCGCTCGGCCACTCGACTTGTCTTAGCGTGGGAATGATAGTTTTAGCATGGAGGTATTATTGAGAAGGAGATCACTCGGCAACAGATCCCTTTGACGCGACAAACCTATGTGTTCCCCGCTTTTGGATCGCGCGCGGGCGTATTGCCCCATAATTTACATTTTTTTGTTAGCAACAACTTGGCAACGACATGCATTTATACGCTTCCAGCAGAGCAGTTGTGCAATAAAACGTTTGAATTTAACCCATTAAATATCTTTATAATGAACAATGTTCCCCTGATTAGATTTTTTCGGGCTTTTGGTATATTATTATTTGTATATTTCATGAACGGATTCCGTAAAATATTTATGTTAAAATTACTTCTGTGTTCATTATAATTTTGTCTAAAGAGTGACTGGTTCGACTATAAAGCTAAGTCAACGTAAAACTGAAAAATACTCAGATTTTGGATTCATTTTTCGAATAGTTAACCCTCGTTAACCCTAAAATGACTTAGTTTATTATAATCCTTAATCATTTATTAATTAATATCTGTTAAAATTAGAATTGGCGAATTTTGGCCAATTTATGAAAATTGAAGTTGAAATACACTATACTTTTATAGGTCATGTAAATGTTCCATTAAATTCAAAACTTTTCTTGGAGGAAAATATTAATATGTTTGATATTTTATGAGAGATAAATGTATCAGCTTCAAAATAAAAAAGATTGCGCAGCCCTAGTGATGTAGTGCGCATTGAGAAAAGAAGGTGCTCTCCATTTCGTCATGTTCAATTTCAAAATTTGATGGCGGGGAACACATGGGACTTCAAAGGCATCGCGCAAACATTCTTTACGCGCTGCGGCAACTTTGATCTTGGTTCATTTGCATAGCGCTGCGTGCGCGTGGCTTTGCCGAGTGATCTCCTTCTCAATAATACCTCCATAGTTTTAGCATGTCAAGTGCAGGCAATGATCAGAATGTTTGCTTCAAAGCACATGCATGTCCATACGCATGCCCAGAACGATCTATCTGGGATTTTCCACTTGAACTTGACAGTGTCTGTAAATCTGTACTGAACATGTGGTGAAAATAGGGTCGCTTAGTGAGGTGATATCGTCGCTGCTCGCGATAACTTAAGAAGAGCCAAGCCTAGCCTAGCCCAGACGAAGCTTAAAAATGTGTTACTAATAGATTGATATACAAGGTTGTTAATGTTACTAGAGCAGTTGTAACAAAAAAGGCCTAATTGTAAAGTGGATTTTTAATTACTGCGTAAAGAATATTACTGTTCTGTGTAAAGAATATTACTGTTGATCATGAAAGACTCAGCCATGGTCTACTGTGTATGCCTCTGTTAAGTTAACCCGTACAACATGTTTTTTCGGCATCAATGGACTGGAGGTTCTGATGAATAAAGGGTTTCTTTTGAAACTTAGTGTGTTGACTTTTTTTTTTAATGTATGAGTTTGACCAACTGAACATTTCCATCCCTTCCATTTTTTGTACCTCTAAAATCGATTATCTAAACCCTTAAATTTACTGAACTGTTATAGCTGGGCCCCCTGGACCCCCCATTGTCCCCCTCCCAAACCCACCCCCGCCTCGGGCTTCGCACTCGGATGGCGCTACGCACTCGGATGGCGCTACGCGCCATTTTCTCAATAACTTCCTACCTCTTTTCTTCTTTTAAATGTTGGCAGGTATGCGATATTGGCAACATGGGAGAAGCCGCTGTTGTTAGCCATATGAAAGGGAAGAAGCATCATGGTTTAGTGTCTACTGGAAACTATTAAATTATATAATTAATTTGAATTGGAATAACCAAATATTAGACAGGCTAGCTAGGGGCCTAAGTCAGGCCTAGAGAGGTAGCCTAGGCTAAGCTCAAACATGCTAGGCCTCGCCGGCACCGACGTCCCGCCGACTGACTGCATTGCTTCTCCTAAGATTACTCTAAGCTTTAAGCTTAAGCCTACTAGTACTAGAGCTAGAGCTAGACCTAGCCCTAGGTTTACCAATCCAACAAAACAAAGGCCGCCTTTTATTTAATTGTGTTTTTGGATGTGGATTCTTAACTGGTAGGCCTAGGTATTATGCTTCTTTATTTATATTTTTTGTATCATTGTACATCACATTATAATAATATTATTAAATAATATTATATAAAAAATAAATAATAGTTTCCGTCATGGCATTTTCTGAATAGCCATGACACACGGCGAAGCCCTGGCGAATTTTTTCATTTTTTTCTACCTTCAACATGTAATGCAATATGTAAGCTATATATTATCTCATAACTACTTTTGTACAGACTGTTTCTTATGCAACAACTCATCCCCAATGCATTGATAAGCAATATTTATTCAAAATAACAGTTATTGATTACTCTAAACTTGAAATTTTTGTATATTGTATATAATATATTTAGTCAAATTTTGATGTTTTTTCAGTAAATAGAACATACTGTATCTATTTAGACTGGACAAATCTGTATCTCCAACAACATGCAATGCAATATAAACAATCTCATAATTGCTGTTCAATTTCAAATATGTTCCTTCTCAACTCATCAGTAACACTTTACTGTAAATTACAAGTAGTAACAGTTATTAATAAATTTTAATTTTGTGTCCATTATATAGATTGTATTTAGTCATTTTGATGTTTTTTACTAAATAGAACCTATTTATACTAGACAAATCTGCAACATCCACAGAGCAATATATTCAATATTAATTCATAGTTACTCTAATAACTATTCTACAGTTAAAGTTTCTTTATTATATAGTTGGATTTGTTTAGACTAGACAAGTCTGTTCTGCAATTACTCATCCGCAACGCAGTATATAAGCAATATTATTTCAAAATATCAGTTATTAAAGATTTTTATATAATTTGTTTTTTTTGTTTCACTAAATAGAACGCTCATTTAAAGAATAAAAGAAAAAGTTGCCTTGTAAAAAATGTTCTGTGTCATTATTTTTGTGTGAAATGGTTTTGGAAATTCAACATTTTGGCTCTGGAAAACTCTTGGAAAAGTTTTGGAATTTTCCAAAGTTCAAAGTGTATGAACCCTGTTCTATGTTTTTAACATTCAGTATCATAATAAAGCAAAGAACTATATCTTCCTAGAATCCAAGATGTTTGAAAAGATGAAGGAAGCCAACAAACATGTCATTACACTGTTTGTAACTTTCTAGTTGGAAAATAAGAGTTTATAACCTCATTCATTTTGAAGGGGTATTTCTCTCGCTAATCTGCCATTATAGGCATGGTTTATATGTGTAAAGATAAAAGAATAATGTATTTTGTGAAAAAAAAATAAAGGAATGATTATTTATAGAATTTTTGTGTGGTCTTTATTGATTTGTGGTCTATTGAAATTATTTCCAAAGAGTCAATTTAACCCCAAAAATGGAGTTAAATCTAACTCCAAAAGTGGAGTTAATAAAAAAGGTACAGAACGACTCCTTTTCTGGAGTAATATTTACTCTTGTATTTTTACTCCCCAAAGGGAGTAATATTAACTCCAAAAAGGGGGTGGGAATCACCCTCTTTTTGGAGTTCATGTTACTCCCTTTGGGGAGTAAAAATATGAGAGTAAATATTACTCCAGAAAAGGAGTCGTTCTGTACCTTTTTTATTAACTCCACTTTTGGAGTTAAATTGACTCCTTGAAATTAACAGTGTGTGTCTGCTGTTGAAAACAAACTTCCTAGCCTAATTTTGTGACTGACTATGATGACTGAGATGGACCATGTTGATTTATTAATAATATTTTGTTTGGGATGGAAAAAGGGAGAGTCAATTTCCTCAAAATGCTCCAAAAGCACATAGTTTAGTGTGCGCTATGGACATTATCAGGGTTGCCAGATAGTCGACAGGCTTCACGGCCAAACACACGCCATCTCACGGCCAAATTCGGTCAAACTTGTTTTCAATATCGGCCAAAATTCGACCAGAATTTAATCCGATAAGAAGACAGTTATGTGGGTACATATTCATTTGGAATACTGCAAAAATTACAGGAAAATCAGGGGCCGTTCGTTTGAAATTGCATCAAAATAATATACACAGAACAATGTTAAACTTCTTTTAATTAATCTATCACCATAAAACACATGCCCAGCTACATCATAATATTAAATAGCCTAGGCCCTATGTTCTTTAGTTGCTGACGCCCGAAAATAATCTTATGCGTTTGGGCGATCAATTTTTCTTTTTTTCTTTTTATTTTCGCGACTCGCCTCTGAATCTTATTGTCGCAGTACTTAAAGCAATAAATCAATGTTTCTATCAGAATTATCTTCTTCATTCTCATATGCAACCTAACTCGACAGAGACTGCAACGCTTGCTTGAAATTGGATGAGCACATCGAGCAATTATATATGGCGCTATAAAGAACACTGCAGCACCTAGGACTATACAATTCAAGTGGGCAATAATAAATTAATTAAGTATAGTATTTAATTTATATTCAAAAGAAATATAAAAGAGATAGAACCTCCACTAGAATGGAACATATACAAAGACACACAGTATGGTACAAACTTGTATTGAACTGTCTTAAACGAGGATAACCTTCATATATATTTCATCTGAACAATTTAAATTATTAAATGTAACTGTTATAAATTCGCCTAGTGGAAAACCAGCTTAACACGCGAACTTACTACTGCAATGAAGCAACTAAATGTTGTATCAATGAAAGTAATTTTAAATATGGGAAAATACGATTTTGGTGGTGAAGATTTAAAAACTCATAAAATGGTATTATTTGGAAGATACCCTTGCATTTGGCTCCATTTATCCAGCTAGACGCAGTATACAGGACCACAAAAAATTAGGAATTCCGATCATGAAACTGGGAGTCGTCTTATACGCCAGACATACAAATATCAACCAAAAATCTTCTAAAACTTGGGGGTCGTCTTATACACGGGTCACCTACGCGAGTGTATACGGTATTATTACGGAACCCCTGCGGAAGTTCGGGTTCCCGTCACATTGTAAACGGTTGTGTTATAACAATAAACTCGCAAGAATGCTCGCGACTACTAGATTCTACAAGTGCGTGGTTGGCTGGGTTGTTTTGGTCGGAAAGGAGAAATTTTCTCTGTGAATTGATTCTCGAACGAGATAAAGAAAGCTCTCTAATGACTCAAGCTACTGTATACCGTTTTTATATATTTAATAAAACCAATTTCTTCTAATTTTAAATACGTTTTCCCCTGATTTTGTGATAATTCCTTATCGCGCAAGTGCTAAATGCGTGACACATTTATGATCTCGCATGTGTTTCTGCAAAATGCGTTTCATCCAATATCACTTTGAAGTGATGCGTGACGGTTGGTAACTATGGCATAGATAACTGCCGGGCCCTAGGTAAGGTAAAAATGCACCGTGATCGGACATAGAGACAGAGCCTCTAGTGGGGTCTACTCAGGCGAAACTCTGAATGCTTATACATTCAGAGGTTTTTTATAACAGATACGGTACGGGACGGCATTAACGCTCAGAAATATCTAAAATATATTTTGTTTAAAAAATTAAAGAATATTAACAAACTATATATGGTCAAGTCATGTTATCGTTTAGGGCCTATTAAGCATTTCATGAATCTATGATATATTATAATATTGACAACGTCAATAGAACACATAGGTGGAATTGTGTCCAACCTGTTGTGAAAATGTACTGAATACTCAGTACATGTGAAAACACTAGCTTGCAAAAATAGTACTCGCTGCTTTGCTTTGGCTCGAATTCAACCCTGACCACCAGGCAGTACATTTTCACGACAGGTTGGACAAAATTACACATATAGGCCCCCAACTTTAAAATACCACAAATACAAATGTGCGTGACGATATTTTATTGCTTTAGAAATGTGATTTCAAAAAGTATATTAGTGAATCACGCACTGAGTATCCAATACATTTTCAAGACAGGTTGGACAAAATATATTTGGCCCCTAATTGATTCTCCTGACGCAAATCCAGGTATTGTCTATTCCAAATAAATTTATTCCAAATCTTTTCAAAGCATAGATAAACAGTGATTGACAAAGTAAGTCAAGTTTTCCATCACGATGATAACAATTACCATTCAATAATAGAACAGTCATCGACCTACTTGCAGTGAATTGAATCTAAAAAATGTATTCATGAAGTTATGATGATCTGAAGTGTTTGAAAACGTACACAATAATAGTTGAACCAAATTAAAAATACCACAAACACAAATGTGCGTGACGATAATTGTATTGCTTTAGAAATGTGATTTCAAAAAGTATATTAGTCCATCGTATACGTAAGGGCTTGTATTGTGTTTTTTTTTTTTTTACTTGCAGCGTTTGGGAAATAGGTGATAGGTAAATTGTAATGAATATAATCAATAACTATAGCCTCTAAAACCTAATATTATTGAAGGGTCCTTTTAAAGTTTGAATAGGATTTTTCTATAAGTTAAATTTTAGATCATTATACCTATTGAACGAGCCCCCAATAGCCCCGGGCCCCAGTGCTGTGCACTGACTGCACTGCCCATACCTACGCCACTGGACCTGAGTATTATTAGTGGTTACATAACGTTTGCTATGCACTGTATCATGCGCTATTTAGTCTATAGAAGACCATAATGTATTGGGAATGTACCTCTCTCTCTGGTAGGGCCTACAGTACAATCAGTTCAAAAGTGTAAGGTATAGGATAGTGTGGATTTTTAAACATTTTTCTAATGGTAATGTTCAAAATAAATGTCAAGGAAAGTAAGTATGATTGTTGGAAAAAATGTTCAACATTTTATTTTGAATTCTCACCCTGACCTTCACCTGGGCGAAGTGGGCGAAGGTCTGGATCCGCGTCTAGTTAGCATGAAATTTTGTAAGCCAGGACCCATAGTATTTTGTTACGTTTCTACACAGAGAGGGTGGGGGGGGACGAACCCCCTCCCTCCATCCACCACTGTGATTAGAATCAAATATAGAATTTAAGCTACCAAAAACAACACATCCAAACAAAAAAAAAAATGTAAATTCAAAAATTCGGCCAAATTCGGCCAAATATAGTTTGGCCGTGACTTTTCAAACGTTACGGCCAGGCAAATTTTTATACGGCCAGATTTTTATCGATGTTTGCCATTCTTATGTGTGCCATCACCAAAGTCATGTTTTGCTGGAGTTGCGTTCAATTTAAATCTCCGAACTTCTGAAGCTGAGAAATTCTATTTCTATGAATGTAGGCTTGTATCACAGGCTACAATTTAAAATCGCAGGCTACAATTTAAAACGGGTGACCAAATAATGAATTAGGTGCTAAATTTTGATTTAATGCTAGGTAAGTTAAAAACAGACATTCCTTCCGAGTGGGACTCATTCAAAAATTCGAGGGGGTTCGCTAGAAAACAGGGGGGTTCGCTAGAAAAGGGGGGTTCGCCCGAACCATAAAAACCCCCCCTGGCTACGGGCCTGTTAAATAAATTTAAGTAGGCCTTCAAGACGCACCTTTTCAATAATTCTCCGTGATTAAGCGCTGTGAGACCCTGCAGATGCCTCGTGTTTTCTGTTTGTTACACCTGCGTAATGAGCGCTATATAAATGTTCATATTATTATTATTATTTATTATTATATTAATTAGAAAATTCCTGATTAAAAATCTTTATCTAGACTATTGATATTGTGATGATGATGAGTTTTACTGTATAAATGTGTCATTTCCGGCCATCTAAGGTCTGTCTCTTATACACATCTAGATGTGTATAAGAGACAGGTATATTAGTCCATCGTATACGTAAGGGCTTGTATTGTTTTTTTTTTTTACTTGCAGCGTTTGGGAAATAGGTAGACCTAATAGGAAAATTGTAATGAATATAATCAATAACTATAGTCTCTAAAACCTAATATTATTGAAGGGTTCTTTTAAAGTTTGAATATGATTTTTTTTAAGTTACATTTTTAGATCATTATACCTATTGAATGAGCCCCCAATAGCCCCGGGCCCCAATGCTGTGCACTGACTGCACTGCCCATACCTACGCCACTGGACCTGAGTATTATTAGTGGTTACATAACGTTTGCTATGCACTGTATCATGTGCTATACAAGTGGAAGACCATAATGTATTGGGAATGTACCGTACCTCTCTCTCTGGTAGGGCCTACAGTACAATCAGTTTAAAAGTGTAAGGTATAGGATAGTGTGGATTTTTAAACATTTTT